GATAATTGGGCGACAATTATGCCCGCTGTCGTCAGAGTTGTCGTTGCGCCCAACTGATTAATCAACGACAGAAAGATGTGAGCGAACAAAATTCTCAGATCATTATTGCTCACAGAAATGTGTTTCTTTGTCCGCTGACGTTTCGGACAGCTGGACTGGCTGTCCCTTATCAAAGCCTGAACTGGCTTTATCGATCAGCAATTCAAAGTTGTGGCTGGGTGTGTTGGCCATGGGCTGATCGATTTTTCTACGCTCGCTGCTTGGCCCTGCGCGTGGATTTTGGCATGACTTGACGGCAGTTAGTGTTGTGTTCCGTCCCCACGGTAGAGGATGCTGGTAATCCTGCTCCTCTTCTGGTCGTTTTGTCACGGGGCTGTCATTGTTTGCAAATCCTAAGTTCGGTTTGACCTGGTCCTGTCCTTTACTCATATACTGGCGTAGGACTTTGTGGGCCGCAGCGAGGTCCAGATGCCTGTTGACGGAGTAAGCGTCTGAGTACTATGCCTCAAGCGTCAGTCTTTCCGCTTTTGAGGTTCCCCAGCCTACAATGGTCGCTCCTTGAATATCAAAATTATGGCCAGTCTCTCCGATAAGCGTTGCACGCTGCAAGTTTGGGTCAAGTCTCCGGGCCGCCGCGTTCTGTTCATGCAGGCGGGTCTGCAATTTGCGTCCTGTTTCTTCAGCGTAATTGCAGTCTCCATCAGTGCAACGTATTTTGTAGACAACAGCAGAGGCTTCCGTAGGGAGCAATCTGTCTATAGTTTGCATCACTTGGCGGCGTATTGTCGCCTCAGGTTGATGGGCAATGCCCACTCCAGCGGGTTTAACAGTCGAGAGCCTGCTTCGGAGACTCTTTTTATGTAGGGAATTGCCCTCTAGACTTTAGGTTGCTGTTTTATTGCCCGTCGTTTACTCACTCGGTGCTTGCTTTGATTGATAAAAGAATTAGGGTCTCTATTAACTCGAAAGAGGTCACCTAGGTATCGTTGTTCCGCTCTTTTGTCAGCTGTTGTGCTGCAATGTGTTTCAACTCTTTGGAAAAGAGTACGAAAGCAGCTACGTTTGTGAGACAGAGAGTGATTGCTGTTGAAATGTAGGATTTTCTTCGTGCTGATGGCTTTTCTGAATACTGTGGTTTGCAGTATTCAAGATGAACATCGGCGCCCAAGGACATCGAGGAAGGGTAGTTGGATATTTCTTTTCGCTTCCATCGTGAATTTGATATTTGGTTCAATCGAGTTTAGTAACTATTTGAGGTGTTCCCTGTCGGATCTTTTGATAATGACGAAACTGTAGTCGGGATAAAGAGCCAAAAACTTCGGTTGATGCTTGGTGAAGGCCAAGTGTTCAATCTGTTGAAGGACCACTTCAGCAATCTGGCCTGATTGGGGAGGCCATTGGAGTGCCTTCAATTTTTTCATACATTTGTCCACCAAATGTGAAGTAGGTTTTAGGGGAATACCGTAGAAGTTAGAGCAAGTGTTCATACTTCGGGCCTTGTCCCTCTCGTCGTAATGCTCAGTTAGAAGTTGTCTTACAACATCAAATGCCAGCTGATGTGGGATAGAGGTAAAGAGTGATACAACGTCAAGGGATACTATGAATTCGTCTGGCTCTAACTTCAAATGTCTTATGCCTTCAAGGAACTGCCTGGCAGAGGCTACGGTTGTTGTCTAGCCCACAGTGAGGAACTAAAGGTGGGCAAAGATCCATTTTGCCAAACCGTATGTAGGGGTGCCACGAAGAGAGACGATTGGCCAAATGGTATGTTCTCCCTGTGCACTTTCGTAACCGTAAAATCGTGCTAGAGCTGTGTCTTTTGCTGTCATGGAAAACCAATCGCTGGGCGTGATTGCCCCGTTTTCTTTGAGTTTTGCAAGACTTTTACTCATTTGAGTAAACAGATGTTTCATTTCACTTGCTGAACATTTATTATACAATTTTTAATCGTCCAGCAGGCTCTGGGCTTTCTTTAGGTAATCAGATTTATTGAATACCACTGTCAAACGACCTTTGTCAGCCAGTAGGATGATTATATCTTCATCCACTTTAAGGCTTGTAATGCTCTCTGTTCTTCTCAGTCAAGCGTTTCGAGCCTTTTATGTTGCATAAGCGGCGACGATGTTTATGGCGGATTAACTCTTTGTTTCATCTGAGGCCGTTGTTAATTGAAGAACGGATTCAAATGCGGCATTGAACTCAGTGGGTGAAGCGTCTGCTGTGTTAAAAGTTGCTCCACCTTCTAGGACTGCAAATTGTGTGCGGGTGAGGGGTTTGAAGGAAAGGTTATGAATGAGGTCGCCCGGAAAGTTGATTGTGTAGGGCGGTCGAAGTTTGTTCAATTTATTTGCTAATTCCTCGTCCTTTTTTTTACGGACCTTTCGTGCCCGTGTACAGATCGTTTCTTACATATCCCTTGGTTTTTTCACCGGCAATCGTTAAGAGGTTGAATTTTCCATTGGTCAACTTCTCTGTTGTAAAGTTACAGTCTTTGGTAGCAATCTTTAATTAACACCCTAGTCATCCGTCTGCTATGCCTTGCCAAACTCTCTCTTTCCAAAGTAGAATTTACAGGTGGCTTGTATGAGACAGATTTTTTGGGGTACGTTTTGGCCCAGGCAACGATGGAGACAGTGCAGTCGCACTTAGATTGATGCGATCCGAAGGGCGAATTTCTCCCAACGGCGTGCAACAGGGAGCGCTGAATGTTCGTAAAAGCAAGCTAAAGTTTGCAAAAGTAACAATGCCGGGCATAGAATCCTAGATCATTTTTGCTCAGCGGAATGTGTGTTTTGTCTGCTGACGGCCCCGTGACGAAATCACCGGAAGAGAGAGTAGGATTGCCAGCATCCTCTACCGTGGGGACGGAACACAACACTAACTGTCGTCAAGTCACGCCAAAATTCACGCGCAGGGCCAAGCAGCGAGCGTAGAAAAATCGATCAGCCCATGGCCAACACACAGCCGAAACTTTTAATTGCTGATCGATAAAGTCAGCTCATGCTTTGACAAAAGACAACCGGCCTAGCTGACCGAAACGCCGGCGGACAAAGAAACACATTCCGGTGTGCAAAAATGATATATGATTCTATGTCCGGAATTCTTTCTTTTGCAAGCTTGAGAACAGAAGTCTATCAAATAACTGGCTAATTGTCTCCCTTTTTTGATGATTATTCGCCTTTTTAAGTAAGCAAGTACTATTTCATTCATATAATCATAGTGCAAAACGGCACTACAGCTAGGTGTAACAAATTTTACTTTTATGAATAAAAAGTCAGCATTGTAATCACATCATATTCTCTAACACTGCTTATCCCTATATGCAGGCAATAAGTGCTGACCACATTTAAAAAAACAATATACAAAATAAATAGCTAGGCATCCACTTACCCAATTCGTCAATGAGGCGCGCGTTTAAAGTTTAACTTTGGTAAGATAATTTGATCTTATTATTGTTATGTCAGCACACAGGCCCCGAGTTAAATCTAAATATCCTACGCAACCTTTTTAGGGCTGAAAAGGTCAGTCAGGTAGAAAGTTTAAAGGCTATAGGTTCTTAAGTAGAGAGGGAAAGCCGAAAACCTGGTTAGACTGTAGTTGGAGAATTAGTTATTTTTCAACTTCATTTCCTCCACAAAGTCAGATTTTCGAGGCCAAATTCTTAGAACTTTGCGACAAATTTGCTCCTTTGCCAAATACATTTATTGAAATCCCAAATTACACATGAAGATTCTTCGATACACACAATTTTCAACCAGAATTTTCTCTCATCCTCTGCAGCATGTCAGTAGAAATGGAACTGAAGTGCAAGAAAAATTGGTTCGGAAAATATTGTGAAACACACTGTATTCCCGTTAACAACACTTTCACCTGTGATGAGAACGGCGATGCTATTTGTTTGCCAGGTATGCAGAGTCTATACTCTCTAAATTTTATTAATTAATTTGAAGGTTCGGTAACTGTTAAGTTGCCCGTGCATGCTAGACAACTATACTTGAATAACTTCTATATGCATTTTAGTTAGCCTATTTATTCTTATTACCGCATCCGCCATCATGGAAATCTTTAGCTTCCCGTGGATACTTTTAATTTTAATATTTCTAGTTTTAGTCTAGTTTGAAGGTTACTTTTTTAAACACTATGCGTTTGTTTTTTGACTTATCGTACTAAAATAGCTAGCCAAATACTTTAGAAGCTATCATTAGTTTAAAAAATGGGGGCGAGCCCATCTTTCGTGGTTTTGTTTTAACGTCTAAATTTCGATCTAGAGTCGATATTGTTGTGCAACCTATTTGCAGGTACTTTTACACAGACCCTGTTTCTCTATTGACGTTTTTTTCGCATTTTAAGTATCGCGCAAGTCTTTGGTTATTTCAATAATTATTTCCTATGATTAGTAGATAGGCGTACACCGATCAGATGAAGGGCACACCCGCCCTGCTTTTTGATGTCCTTGTGGTTCGTGCACCCACAAACCCTGCCACATGGCTAATTGTAATGTTACTTTCTATGTTTCGGCAACATACTTATTATTTTTGAGGACATTTTACTATCTACTATTGCATGGTCCCGATCAACAACCGTCGAGACGTCGAGCCTGATAGCTAGATGGATAGGGCGTACCCTCCCTGACCGGAGGGACGCGGGTTCGAAAATCGAGGGCAGCGGCTATTTACGCTGCTACACTTGAGTAGAGTATATCCAGCCGACAACGCCTAATAAGGCAGAAATGGCCATCCTGGATTCCCTTGTCTTACGGTAAAATGTCCTCAAAAATAATTTCCTATTATTTTCAGATTTGATACGCTCACATTTTTCAGTTATTTTTTCTTTCCATAAAACTCCTCATAACACCGCTCCTGTAGGACAGTATTATGGGGCTAGGGTTACCTAAGGACGTCGGCTAACTTAAATGTTGCCGAATTTTCATTTTAACCCGAAGTGTGCGGCGGTCTAGGCAGCCGACACATAAAAATATGACTGCAATGCTTCAATCTTCCAAGGTTTGGAAGTCAGCCTCTTATACTTATTTTTATTCGTTTATTAACATTTAGAAACCTTAGAAGTGTAGGGAACTCTTAGTGTGATGTTTGTTAATAACAATCTGTCATAAGTGATATCGTTAACTACACGTAAACTCATCTAAATTTAAAGAAAAACCCAGCTGCGTTGCTATGAATAATGCTGAGTTTCTTTAAATCTCACCACTATAGACAACCAGATGGCGCAGTCACATAGCGTTTTTTCATGACTAACTTTTGTATATTTCATTCACATTACTTTTTTCGGAGTACGCTCTCAGGGAGCCTGTGCTGCATTGTAGCGGACTCCGGCAATTATAGACATTTGTTCCATTAGGGTTACATTGAGCGGTCCTGTACACGCAAATACTACTCCTATGCCAAACTATGTGCGGAAAATGCTCAATGTGACAACATACAAGTGCACGTGTGGTGGACGAGAAGGTGAGGCATGGTAGCAACGTTTACTTTCCTAATATAAAAGATGGTTGACGCGTAAACGGTCTAAAGCCGTATGAGGAATAATCTAGGCAACTACTTTGATTATTGATTTTAATCAATTATCGTGTAAGATCAGAAAGTCCTGCTGTGTCGTTGTCGAACATATTTCGACATGAATCACAAGATTATAGAGGAAACCCTTGTCATTACATCCTTCAGGCCCGCTTCTTTGTGGGAGATGAGAACACGTGAGACGCTAAGTGGAAGGAATAGTGTATTCTAACCAGAGAAAATGGCGAATAAATTTTACCAAGTTGACTGTCAGACGAGCAAGCTTCTGCACCCGAGTGAGCACTGTCCGATGTATCTGAGCGTAGTGATAATCGCAGTGAAATCCCGTGTTAGTCATCCTCATTGAGATGATTGGCCAGACCGGATTGGTGAGGGCATGCGTTGGTATGCGGGCACTTGCTAGACACCGTGGGCATTTAACTGATGACGCAGTTTGTGGCACATGTGACTGGCTGTCCACGAGGCGGGTCGAGGCTTGCAATAACGTGACCTCATGCGTGGTGTTGCGTAGGAGTTAGATGGTGGTACGGTGTTGCTACACGCTCTCCACCGACCTGCTGGCCAACCATCTCAGTTCATATGTGTTGGCGTACCCTAATAGAGAACGTCAAAACCGATAAACTAAAGAACGTTTATACGAAAGACCCCTTGACAGCACGAGATGAATATAAATGTCAGTTTAGCCATTTACTCAAAAGTGTAGGATCACACTTCTGTATGCCCTAGAAGGGTCAATTTCCACAGTGATATAGACTTGACTGTGTAAAGTAACAGGCAGCCTATTTCCGTAGCTCTGCATGTGCAAAGAGAATAACTCGATTGCTCGTCCATTGGAAAAAATATCACTTCCATTTTTAAACAGTCGGTTAGATTTTAGAAACCATTGAGTATATAATACAACACGAGAATGCAAAAAAGAGGAAGAGGGAAATATGAAAGTAATTTCGGTTTGCGGATCGTTTAATAATGTTCAAATCTTTTCTTAAGCATGAAATGTTTGAAAATAGAGAAGTTTTCAATGTTTTTTGCATAAAAATCTGCGGCGGAATCGGTTCTGAACATATCCTTGACCGAATACTCTAGGTGGATTGCTTAGTTCGTGTTTATGGAACATTAAAATAAAGGGGACCAAAATGAGCATTTTTTTCTGTATTCAATACTCCAATATGACAAATACTCCTCACTTAGTGGCCCATCAATTGTCATTTTTTATAACAGAACATAATAACTAAGAAATATAACAATTTTTGGCCAAAGAATGTTCTCTAAAAATAACAATTAACAATTGGAAATTGCCATGTGGTAAGAAAGAAGGAGCATGAGCTTTCACCGGGAGATATTTATTTGATGTCTGACGTTTCGTTACCACCTCACTCTTCACGTCCATAACACAGGCTCTTGCTGTCTTAACCATCCCTGACTTTCTGCGTCTGAATGACGATGAGAAATAAGTTAGCTCACAGCTCAAGACCTCATATAACTCATAAAGAATTGCTCCAAGACCTTTTTTCATCTTCGAAGAGATCACAAATGAGCAAATCAAGTGCACTTCAATGTGGTCCCCAATCTTT